GAGAGAGCGCCTTCCCAGCGCGGAGTGCAGCCAGAGAGAACGCTCAGAATCTGGAGACGGAAGGTCCTGTGTGACGGACAGCCAGGAGGCCGCTGCTGTCGGACCCTGGAGCCTGCAGAGAGGAGGGGAAGGTGGGAGAAGTCTGGAAAGGCAGCAAGGGGCCAGGTCAGGGAGGGCGTTTTACACTTGGTCCTGGAGGCCAAGGGAGCCACTGGAATTGAATAAATGGAGGGTCGGGCTTTAGGAAGCTCAATTTGACAGATGAGTGGAATCAATATATTACTAATCTGTTCCCGTTGTACTCATCCTAAGGGCAGACACAGCTCTTCCTTTCCATCTCTGACCTCCCAGCGCCCAGCACTTAACCCAGCACGTGGTAAGGACCCAGTAAACGATGGTTGGATTAAACCATGTACTTCCTTAGCTTCTTTTGAAGCAGCTCGGGCCAGTGGGAAGAGTACAGGATATGAAGTCTGAGGAGATGGGGTGCAAATTTGCCTGTCATTTACCACCTGCAACACCCTGGAGAAGTCACTTGCCTTTCTGGGACTCATCTATAAAAGGATGGGGTTAGAAAAGAAGGCCTTTCAGGACTAGATCTGTAACCCTGTGGTCCTTCCAGCCTCAGCTTGGATGACACCTCCTCTGAGAAGTCTTCCCAAATTTCTCTCTCATCCTCAATTTTACCTTGTATTTCATTATCTGTACACAAATGGTATCCCCCAGTAGAATATAAGCTCCTTGAGAGCAGGCAGGGGCTGTTTTGTTTTTCTCTGTGTCCCCAAAACCTAGTGTAATTCCTAGCACACAGTAGGTAATTAACAAACATTTACTGAATATCTGAATCTGATATTTATTGACGGTGGCCCAACCCTTCATAAATGCCTCCTGAAAAGCCAAGGCCTTTGCTGGGCCCAACCTTTGTTCACTCCAATAGGACTCTGTGGGCCTTAATCTCATCAGAATTGGCTCAAAGAGGGAATAACATACACACTCAGTTGGGTATAGACATCTATCTTACCCTAGAAAAGTAAGAGGGAAAAGGGATAAGAGATGGGGGCAGGGTGATAGAAGGGAGGGCAGATTGGGGGAGGGAATAGTCAGAAGCAAAACACTTTTGAGGTGGGACAGAGTGTAAGGAGAGAGAAAATAGAACAAATGGGAGGGAACAAGACGGAGGGTAATACAATAGTATTTGTATTTGTACAATACGCACAATACGATAGTACAAAAGCAATAGTAACTGAAAAATTTTGAAGTCAGTTTCTCTGATAAAGGCCTCATTTCTCAAACATATAAAGAACTGAGTCAAATGTATAAAGATAAGAGCCATTCCCCAATTGATAAGTGATCAAAGGACATGAATGGTTTTCAGATGAAGCTATCTATAGCCATAAGAAAAAGTGCTCCAACTCACTATTGACTGGAGAAATGCAAATTAAAACAATTCTGAGGTACTACCTCATACCCATCAGATTGGCTAACAGGACAGAAAAGGAAAATGACAAATTGTTGGAGGGGATATGGGAAAAATGAGACATTAATGCACTGTTGGTGGAGCTGTGAACCAATTTAACCACTCTGTAGAGCAATTTGGAATTGCCCAAAGGGCTATAAAATCATGCATATCTAGCAATACCACTACTTGGTCTGTATCCCAAAAGAGATAAAAAACAAAAAGGAAAAGGACCTATATGTACAAAAATATTTATAGCAGCCCTTTTCTGGTGGCAAAGGAATTGGAAATTGAAGGGATGCCCATCAGTTGGGGAATGGCTGAACAAAAAGATTATGATGGAATTCTATTGTGTTATAAGAAATGATGAGCAGGATGCTCTCAGAAACAGACGTACATGAGCTGATGCAAAGTGAAATGTCCTGTGTCCAAAGTAACAGCAATATTGTAAGATGCTCAGCTACGAATGATTTAGCTCTTCTCAGCAATGCAATGATCCAAGACAATTCTAAAGGACTTACGATAAAAAAAAAAATGCTCTCCATCCCCAGAGAAAGAACTGATGGTATCTGAATACAGACTGAAGCATGGTTTTTTTTTTGGGGGGGGTGTCTATGTTTTCTTTCACAGCATGACTAATATGGAAGTGTTTTGCATGACTACACATGTATAACCTATATCAAATTGCTTGCTTTCTCAATGGGGTGAGGTGGGGAAAGAGGAAAGGAGATAATTTGGAATTCAAAGTTTTTATTTTTATTTTATTTATTTATTTATTTATTTTTGCAATTTCATTGACTGTAAGCCAATCCATTTAAACAATTTATTACCTTTAAAAAAGTAGAAGTTGGTAAGTACAGAGACATTGTTTCCATGATTTCTTAGGAAATTTTAAGTAATGAAGAGGCCCAAAGAGCACAGAAATATCCTGGGTCAAGAACATTTCAGATTTCATTATGAGACAGAACAATATGCCAGCCGAGTGCAACACTTGTTTAGAACATAAATTAATTTTTGAACCATTATTGAGAAGATGAAACAAATACCATCACCTCACAAAATAAATGAAAACTGATGAGGATTAAAGAGTCTTTTAAGGATCTTAGCTTGATATTCAATTAAATTTAAAAATTCCATTAGCATTTGTGGTGAAATCAGGAGGGCAACAAACAGATGTGAAATAGAATAGATCCGCCAATATTTTTAAAATAGCAGACTATTCTTATCAAGCACAACCAAATTTGGATTCTACCACATCAGTGTCCAAGAGTCACTGTCACTTAAAAAGATGAAACCAAGAAGAGAACTTAAAACTGGCTAGATACATACAAGATAAATTTGTATTGTATTGGGAATTCAAAGTTTTTAAAATGAATGTTAAAAACTGTTTTTAGATGTAACTGGGGAAAAATAAAATACTAAATGAATATTGGAAGGGACCAAATAAAAGCCAATGACTCCATAAGACAATAAGACATATTAAAACAAAATCAAAAGGATGAAAAAATAAAAGAAAATATAAGGTATCTCACAGCAAAGACAACTGACTTAGAAAACAGATCAAGGCGGGAAGCTCTGGCCTTGGAGTCAGGAGGACCTGAATTCAAATACAACCTTTGATACTTACTAGCTGTGTGACCCTGGGCAAGTTACTTAACCCTGATTGCATCACCAAAAAAAAAAAAAGATAACAGATCAAGGAAAGGAAAAATTTAAGAACCATTGGGCTTTCTGAATGTCATAAACAAACAAACAAACAAAAGAGCCTGGACATGATATTTCAAGAAATCTTAAAATAAAACTGTGTAGACTTCTTAAAACCAGGGGGCAAAGTGGAAATAGAATCTACCAGTCCCCTCCTGAATGAAGTCCCCAAATGAAAACTATCAGGAACATCATAGCTCAAACCCAGAATACCTAGGTCAAAGAAAAAATACTGCAAGCAGCCAGAAAGAAAGAATTCATGTACTGTGGATAACACAAGTCATAGTCAGGATCACATAGGATTTAGCAGCCACCACTTTTAAGGAACAGTGAGCCTGTAATATGTAATTCCAGAAAGCAAAGGATCTGGGCTTTCAGCCAAGAATAACTTTCCCAGCAAAACTCAGTATAATGCAACAGGAGGAAAAATGATCTTTAATGAATTAGAGGACTTCTAAGCATTCCTGATGACCAGAGCTGCAGAGAAACTTTGAAATTCAAACACAAGAGTTAAGAGAAGCATAAAAAGATAAATATGAGTGAGCATTCATAACAGACTAAACAACGATAAACTGTTTACATTCAAATATCACATGTGTCCCTTCTGATTCTTATTATCATCAGGGATCACTTCTCCTCTGGGAGTAGTTATGTCTTGGTGACCTTAAAACAAGAATGCAAAGAGAGAGGAAGAAGACACTGGGGGATAGGGGAACAGAAAGGAAGGCTAGGGAAATTTATCCTACAATATTATGGTTTGAAAGTAGACATCTATACAAACAAGAAGGAGGGTTGGGTGGGGAGTGGCTGACACTGGAACCTCACTCTCATCTGAAATGGTCAAAGGAGGGAAGAATACATATACGCACACAGAAAGGGTAGGGTAGAGAAAGCCATTTCACTCAACAAGGAAACTGGAGGGAAAGGGGAGAGGGTAAAAGGGGAAATTGGAAGAAGAGGTATATCAAGGGAGAGATTAATTCTAAGCAAAACAAACTCTAACTAGGGATATACAAAAATATTTATAGCAGCTCTTTTTTGTAGTGGCAAGGAATTGGAAACTGAAAAGATGCCTATCAATTGGGGAATGGCCAAACAAGTTATGGTAAACGAATGTGATGAAACACTATTGTGCTATAAAAAATGATGAAGAGGATGGTTTCAGAAAAACCTGGGGAGACTTATGCTAATTGATACAAACTGAAGTGAGCAGAACCAGAAGTTTATACAATATGCGATGACAATAATATGGTTATGATACAACTTTGAAAGAATTAGGCATTCTGATCAACACGATGACCAACCAGGATTCCAGAGGACTAATGATGAAGCCTGCTCCTCACCTCCTGATAGAGAGGTGAAGGACTCAGAGGGCACAATGAGCCAAGCTTTTTGGGACATGGCCAATTTGTTTTGCTTGATAATACATGTTGGTAACAGGTATTTTGTTTTTCATTCTCATTTGGAGAGGAACGGAGAGAAGGTAGATTTTGTTGATTAAAAAAATAAAAATAGAATTTTTTAAAAAAAGATACCATAAAGATGAAAATTTTGAAAGATTGAAGAACACTGATCAACACAATGACCAACCAACACAGGACTGCAAAGGACTCATGGTGAAGTGTGCTACCCCACTCCTGGCAGAATGGGGATGGACTCCGGGTACAGAACAGCATATCTGGATGTGGCCAATGAGCGAATGGTGCAGCTCGACTGTACATTTTATTAGAAGGATCTTATTCTCTCTCTCTCCAACGAGGAGGACTACCCAGTTGGACTCCTGCTATTGGCTGCACCCCATCCCTTGCACCCCAGCATGCCCCCATCCTCTCTTACTCACCAAGAGCTGCCACCACCAAGAAAAAGGAGGCAGCTACCAGGAAGGCCAGGTCAGGCTTAGTGTAGGAGAGCAGTTTCTGCAGCGTAGCCCCCGATGTCTCCTCCTGCTTTGGCTGCTCCTCTGTGGGGTAGCCCTCGCCCTCGCCTGGTGCCCCTGGTTCCAGTACCGTGTGGCCCGGACGCACAGTGGACAGCAGCCAGCAGAGAAAGAACGTGGCCCCGATGGAGGTATAGGTCCAGACAAAGAGGCCCCAGAACCAGGGGTCCCGGATGGGCTTGCGTACCTCAGAGAAGAGGAGCATCTTCACCATGGTGTAAATGCCCACAAAGAGGCACACCAGGATGATGAAGGACCAGGAGGCCCTAAGCCGCCGGGGGCCCAGGGCACTGTTCTTGGCCACGCCGATGGTGGCCCCCAGAAGCAGGCAGCTCCGGTACAGGCAGGCGGCCCAGAGGTCCAGCACCGAGTCGAAGATGTTGAAGTCTTTCAGGTCCTGCAGCACGCCCCGGTCCCGATGACTGAAGGCATAGAGCACCGTAGTGATGCCCACGTCCACACTCATGAAGACCCCCGTGACGGCCACAGCCTTCCAGACCCTCATCCTGGCGAACAGTGGGGGCGGTGAAGGGGCCTAGCAAGGGACCAGATCTTTAGCTCAGAGCAGAAGGGTTCATCGCTTCTAGGTGGACACTGGGTACCTGGAAGCCAAGAGGATGATGTCAGAAGATGGAGAGAAGATGATGTGGGGGAAGGGGACTGAAGTTTCCCACGTAAATCCCTGGGTCAGCCCTCGTCTGGCTCAGATATTAAGCTCTCAATCTGGAGTCGGAGGATCATAAAACTTAGAGGTGGAAGGGATCTCTGAGGTCATCTGGTCCAACCCCTTCATTGTACAGAGGAAGAAACTGAGGCCCCCAGAGGTTACAGGATCATAGCTGCAGGAGGGACCTCAGAGACAATGGAGCGCCACCCTCTCATTTTAGAGTCAATCAGACAGTCAATGAACACTCATTAGCACTTCCTGTGCCAGGCACCCCTGCTAAGAGCTAGGGACATACACAAACCCCCCCCCCAAAACCAAAAACTGACCTCAAGGAGCTCACGCTCTAATGAGAGAGACAACATCCAAACAATTGTATATCCTAGATCTATACTGATGGGGAAACTGAGGCCCAGAGAGCTATGGAATCATAGCGCCGAGACTGCATGAGACCTTAGAAAAAAAATCCAATCCCCCTTATTTTATAGATGAGGAAACTGAGGCCCAGAGAGGGGTCATGAAGGTAGGAAGCATCAGAGCTGGACTTGGAACCCAGGTCCTCTCAGAGTCCGGAGGTGCTTCCTCCCCCTTTCTAAGCCTCAGTTTCCTCATCTGTGCGTTGCTGGGTTTGGCCCGCCTTGGTCTCTGAAGTGCCTACTAGCTCTCCACTCCCTCTCCCCATCCTGGAGGCTGCTCAGGTTGGTCAGGGTCAGAGCCAGGATTCAAACCTAGGTCCCTGGGTCTGAAGGTCATGTTCCTTTCTCTGCAGTGCTCCCTGAACCATACTGGGGAATTGGGCGAGGGAGGTTGCAACCAATGACAGGATACACCAGAGTCAACGGCCACCCTCCCCCTTCCAACTCTCCCAGGGAGAGAAAGGAACCCCAAGCATTTACCCTCCCCCCAGAAGCGTCCAGAAACTCCACTTACCGTCCACGTGACTCTTTTGGGCCTCAGTTTCCTCCCCTGTAAAAGAAGGGAGTTGGACTACGACCCTATGACCTCCTCCTCCTCCATCCCCACCCTCTAAGTCACCTGGAGCCGATGTCTTCTCCCATTTCACCCTATGGACAGCTGGCTTCAGGGTGGGGGGAAGGGACCCTGTTGAGCCGTGTGGTTCAGAACACGCCCTGCAGGAAGAAGAAGGGGGAGGGATCCTCTGGCAGGGGGAAGCTCTAAGGGCGACCCAGGAAGTGGTCCTGACTGACCAGGGCTTGGCACCAGGCTGGCATTGGAGGGCTCTGCCACTGAGTTCTTGTTTAAAAAGGAGGAGTTGAGCCTCCAGCAGCCTGGGAACCAGTCAATCAGTATGCATTGATTAAGCACCCATGCATGCAATGAGAACTGGTTCTGTCACCAGCTCACTAATGGGTGAAAATCTGGCCACATCCCTTCTCTCATTTTGGTCTCAGTTCCCCTCACCTGAAAAATGAAGGAGAAAAGCCTGAAGCCTCTGCCTGGGCGGACTATTCATTCTAGAATCAGGTGCGTGGTGCAACGTGTAGAGTCAGGAAGACCTGAGCTCAAATCCAGCCTCAGCTACTTAATGGCTGTGTGAACCTGGGCAAGTCACTTAACCTCAATTTGCCCCAGTTTCCTCCTCTGTGAAATGGGGACAATAACAGTAACCACTTCCCAAGGCTGTTGTGTGGATCAAATGAGATGATGTTTGTACAGCACTTTGCACACCCCAAAGCACTCTATAAATGCACTGGAAGGAATCTTGGAGGCCACCGAGCCCCACCCAGACCCAGTCCTCTCTTGAACCCCCACCACTGTCTCGCTTTACTGTTTGCAGCACAGGGTTCAGCGCCCAGCATTTGGTAAATGCTTTTTTCATTTGCTTTTACAAATAAGTGAAATCCAATTCAATTCAACAAGTCTATTTCTTGACGGGGGACTGGGGAGAACAGGCATGCAGCAAGAAGGGCTCTGAGGAGCCATCCCATCTAACCGCCCCCGGCCCCTTCCCAGAGGAGGGAACTGAAGCTGAGCCATTGGAAAATGACCTCAGGACTGGCGAGCCCACGTTCAGCCCTTCAAGGTCAGTGATGTGATTTGAACCTGGCTCTGGCTCCCCAACCTTCCTTCTGAGCCCTCCTGTCACCAAGAACTCTTTCCAGCCCTCCGGATGTCCCAAGAGGTGACATTCTGCCCCCTCGCCAAAGCTGCTGCTGTCCTAATTCTTGGCACTCTGCTTCAGGCACTGCCCTTTCTGCCTGCCCCCCCGCTCCACGATAACCCAGCTGCATCTTGACCCCTCTAACCAGGATACTGTAATGACACTCCCGCCCCCAAACCTTTGCAAACCCAGAGCCAGGACACGACGTGACAATCTCCCCACCCCCGATGCCCAGAATAAGCCCAGCAACACAGAAGTCAGTACCAAGTCCTTTCTCCCTGCTCTGAAGGAGCCATAAGATTCATGCTGAAAAGCACTCCCCCCCTCCACGTTCAGTTCTCCAGTACTGAGGCTAAAACTAAGTCCTTAGGAGAGCAAGCAAGGCAGGGCCAAGAAGGTGAGATCTCAAAGCAACTTCCCCAGGGCTGTACATGGCAGCTCTCTCCTCCTTTGAACATCCCTGTTTGGAAACTGAACACAAATAGGAGCAAGGAGGCAGGAGAAGATGGGTACCCTGGCCAGGACGCCAGGGAAGGGATAGAGAGGTGGGGGGGGAGGATGGAAGGATGGGAGCAAGGCCCACTTGCCTGGGCAAGCCTGCACTGCTTGAACCCTGCCTTCCTGGGACCAGGCATCTGAAACGGGAGGGCGGCCATGAGCAGGATGGGCCCCTGCAGCACATACTTGAGTCAGCGTCTCTATCTATCTTCAGGGCCTTCCCAGAAGGCCAGGGAGGTGCAAGGGTGGCGACTGCATGTTGGGCCCTGGACCAGGAAGAGAAGAGGACGGAAGGCAGAAGGTGGGGAAAGGACTCCACCCCCACCTGCTCCTCTGGCCCCAGACCGAGCAGGCTCAGCCTTCCCGCTCTGCCTGCTGCAATGCAGAGCCCATGGTGAATGTGAGCGAGTGCCTGCCTGGGGCCCAGAGGAGAAGGAGGGCAGGCAAAGGCCCACCCCACCCCCTCCAAGCCTCCTGGGCTATATCCAGGGATCACAGGACCATCTCCCTGTGGCCAATATGAGGAGGGCCTTCTCTTGCCCTCTTAGGCTGCAATCATTCTTTGGAACGAGAATGAAGACCCGACCTTTCCTCTTTCCCTCAGGGCAAGGGGATGCTTCTGAGCCACAGGAAGGAGGCAGAAAGGGTATGTAAGGAGGCCATTCTGGCCAAAGTCCTGGAACTTGGACCACCTGGGGGCTGGCCTGGCTTTCAGGTTCTAAAGATCCTTAACCTTTATTTGTGTCCTGGACCTTTGGGGAGTCAGTCTGGTGAAGCCCAGGAACTCCTCAGAATGTTTTTAAATGCACAAAATAAAATACACAAGATTACAAAGCAAATTGATTATATGGAAATAGAAATCAAAACCCACGCTAAGAATTCTTGTCCAGGAGCCAAGAGGGTCTGTCTCATTTGAGATAACACTGGAAGGGCCTCAGAGAGTCTACCTCTCTCGTTTTATAGGTGAGTAAACTGAGGTACAAAGAGTTTGTGCCTTGCCTGGGCTCACACAACTAGAGTCTAAGGCAGGATTTGAAAGCAGATCTTACTGACTCTAAGGCCCAGAGTACTATTCACATCTGCCTTTTTGAGTTTAAATTCCTCATTTTACAGAGGAGGAAACTGAGGCCCCCAGAAGGCTTCAGGTTACTTGGTTAAGGCCAAGGAACCCAGGTCTCATTCCTAGCCAATACTCTTTTTTTTTTTCTTTTACACTATTCAGTCCTACTAGGATCACCTCCAAGTTTGAAGCTGAGTCTGCCCGACAGAGGTCAGGTTACGTACAGCTCCCAGGAGAGCAGAGACGCAGTTAAAAAAAAAAAAAGAGCATAGAAGTCTGGTGGTGACTGGCTGGCCCCAAAAGGCTGTATTTAGACTAAGTGATGTTCTTTGCAGATCCATGCCCCGATCCTGGGGACCCCCTACACACACCCACCCACAGCCCTGCCTCCTCTCCCCTGCTCTGCCAGCACACTCCCAATGACAGCCTGGAGTCGTGGCCAGGATGAAAGCACTCTTTGCAGACCTGGGCAGTTACAGGGTGAAGGGCATGCCAGGGTGGAGAAGAGGACTGCAGCACCTGGCCAAGGCACATCCTCTAAAGGGTGAGCCCAGAAGCCAGGATGCAAGCACAGGCCTGCACTCCAGGGTAGAGGTGAGAGCTGGCCCCACTCCACTCCCTTGGCCAGCCCTAAGGTGCTACCCATCTTTGCCTCACTCTTGGTTAAGGGGGAGGAGGAGAGGAAAATGAGAGATGATGACAATAACAACAATAAAATAAGAAACTGGAGTTTACTTAGCACCAGATTGATAACACTAGAGAAGAGATACCTCAATTTCTGTGGAATACCCCTAGATCTTGAGGGGGAGATGAAGCAACCTGACTCCTGGAACGTGAGCTGAGAGCACACGTAGCACACATGTATTGGCTCATTTGATCCTCACAATAGCCCTGTGAGGTAGGGACCATAATATCACATGGCTAGTAAGCAGGGGAGGATTTGAACTCAGTTCTTGCTGGCTCCAAGGTGAGCACTCTCCACCACACTGTGTGACCTTGGGACAGTTGTTAGCTTTCTGTAGACCTCATCTTCCTTATATGTTACAGGATGGGGGTGGGCCTAGATGGTCTCTGAGACCAAACAGGGAGAGCTGGGCGAAGGTCCTTTTGCTAGGGGCCTTCTGGGATCAGACTTGCTCTTCTGGGCTCTGGAGGGCATGGCCAGCATCAATGGATAGACGTGGTTAAGAGGCCCATGGAGCTTTATATCTGGAAGAACTTTGTCATAATTAGAGTAGCCCCAAGCTGGAAGAGGCCACTTCAGGAGGCGGTGGGGTTCCCCTCTTTGGATGTCTCCTGGGAGAGTCTGGGTGACCCCTGTCTAATAGGGAGTGGGGGTTCTCTTCTCATAGGAGCTGGACTGAACAGCCACCGAGTCTCTTCCAGCTCTCACATTCCAGGCTTCTGTTTGCTGATTTCCAAACTCACTTCCCATTTCGAGTCTAGAATGCTTGGCTCTAGAATGCAGTAACTCAGAACCTTTCCTCTTCCTTTGGATGAGTGCTGACTGACTGACTCAGCCTTGCCTCAGATACTTCTTAGATGTATAACCCTGACCAAATTCCTTAACCTCTTTCAGCCTCAGTTCATAAAATGGAGGGAAAACAATTGCACCTACTTCACAGGGTTCTTATGAGGACCCGGTAAGGTTGTTTATGTGAAACCCTTTGCAAACCTCCAGGTGCTATAGAAGTGTTAGCTATAATTACTGATGATTAAGTCAAGCCCCAGCTCAGCTGCTGCTTCTTCTGTTAAGTTTTCCCTGATCTAAGCACTAGACTTGGAGTCAGGAAGACCTGGGTTCAAATCTTACCTTGGACACTTACTAGCTGTGTGACCCTGAGCACATCACTTAATCTGCTCCCCTATAAAATGAAGGGGCTGGATTCAATGACCTCTATGGTTTTTCCTTGCTCTACATTTATGATTCTTTGATCTCAATTTTTTTCCCCCCAAGAGCACCTTGGCTACCCCTTTCCCCCATCACACCCTATCTTCTAATATATTTATATGGGTATATTTTCAATCTCCCCACCTCTCTTCCTCTATCAATAGAAGGTAAGCTCCCTAAGGACAGGGATTGTTCTGTTTTTGTTTTTTAATTAATTCCCCATTGCCTGCCTGGCACACAGTAAGCACTCTATAAATGTTAGCTAGTGTTGTTATTCCTTAAAAGGATCAGAAAGAAGGCTGAGATATTCTGAACAACCTGACTAAATATCCCAGGTTGCCCCTCTGTGCCTCAGTTTGGTATTTTTCATTTAAATTAATCCCAACATGAATCTATTAAGCACTTCCTATGTGCCAGGTACTGTGTAAGGCCCCAAAATACAAAGACAAAAAGGAATCGGGGGGCAGCTACGTGGCGCAGTAGATAGAGCACCAGCCCTGGATTCAGGAGGACCTGAGTTCAAATCTGACCTCAGACACATAAGAATTACTAGCTGTGTGACCCTGAGCAAGTCACTTAACCCCAATTGCCTCACCAAAAAGCAAAAAACTAAAAGGAATCGGTTTCTGTCCTCCAGTAGTTTATATTCCACTGGGAGGAGGAGAGAGGGAATGCCATCACTTCCACAAGCCTCTTTCCCTTTGGGTCTATAAGGTCATTTGGCCTGGCTTCTCTCCTTCACTTCTGGTCCCTGGCCCTGGTGCCTTCCATATCTCTCTCGTGTCAGCCATACCTGGGGGGGGGCAGGAGGAGAGGCAGGAAAATTAGCAAAGCTGGCACAGATAAGGAACGCCTCACATGTACTAAGCTTCTTGGAAAAATTAAACAGCATGACAAGGCGAGCCAGATAAGAGTCGCTGGGGAGGCCGTCTGCCAGCTGAGGTAGAGCTAGGACAGAAGAAGCATGGGGCACGTTCTGTGTGATCTGAAAAGAAACTCCCAGCTTCACTCCTCTCCCTTCCTTTGATCAGGTACAACCTGGAAAGAAGGGTACCTTGTCATCTGTTGGGATATGTCCCACTAGCCTGACATAGATGAGATGCCCTATGTCCAGGAAGCAGGGCCATAAGGAGAGATCCATTTGGGTCAGAGCATCCTGAAGTCATTCACCACCCCCATCCCAGAGGCATCTGAGAGACACTGACTTCCACATCACCAGCCCTGCCCAGGAAAACTGTTTAATCTCCCTTACATTTGAGATTGAGACTAGGCCAGTTGTCACTGTCCCCAGATGACATCCAGAGGGTAGAAAGCCAATCTAGGTCAGTGTGTGGGCCTGCCAGAACCTAATCTATTGCCAAGACCTCTGGGGTCTCTTCCCCTCAAGACCCAGGGAAGCAGCATGTCCCAAGAGAGAGGTACTAGGAGAAAGCTTTAGGATTATGGTAAAGTGAAACATAGCTCCTGCATTAGTGAGGCATTTTCACGTTCATTATCTCATTTGAACTGCCTAATATTCCAGGAGTTATGCAAGGCAAAATACTTCTCCCCTTTTGACAGACAGGGAAACTGAGGCCTAGAGGGGAAATTTGAGGCTTCAATTAAGTGATCTGTCAAAGGTGAAAAATAGAGTTACTGACAGATCTGGAACCAGAACTTGGGTCTCTTGACCCTAACCTCCATTCACTACTCTACAGTGCCACGAGAGGGATGGGTAGAACCCAGACACAGAACCTGAGCTGTGGTTTGGGGCTGGAGTAGGAAGGATTAGGAGCTCCAGATAAGTGGACCAGTAAAGTGCTCAGAAGAATTCTGAACAGACCCAGCTGTGATGGAAAGAATGGCTTTTCCTCTTTCCCCCTTTCCTTGAGGTCTTAACAGGGCTCTTGGCCTCCCTATTCTTCCCTCACCTGGGACTGTGGAGCCTCAAGAGTTAAAAATAATTGCAACATTAAACCGCAAGCTCAGCCCTCCTAGACCTGCAAGGGATGCTGCAGAGGGAGGGAGAGAAAGAGAAGGAGAGGGAGGGAGAGAAGGAGAAGGAGAGAGAGGGACCGAACAGTATCCTCTCCTCTCCTCTCCCTCCTGGCTAGGAAGGGAAGGCATGAGGACCGAGGGATGCAGGACCACAAATGATGGACCGGTGAGGGGAGACAGCAGACCCCTCTGCCTGGCCCACCTGGAGCTGTTTGCTTTGGCGGTTATCGGAGAGGGGGGTTGCCAGTGCCTGAGGACAGGTGCTGGAGGGAGACCCCAGCCTCTCCCTCCCCTGCCAAGGTGGAAGCTCACCCAGAGGGCCCCTCGCAGCTCCCCACGGGGCGGGGGGAGGGTTATTGCCTTGGCGGTAAACAAAGTTCCAGAGGCCAGCCCGCCCCCTCCACCCTCGCCGACGGTTTGGGGCTGCCAGCAAACGATGTCCCTAGCAGACCGAGGGGGCAGCCAGAAGGCACAAGTGTCGGGAGTCGGGGGTCTCCCCGGCGCTCACATTGACCTCATTTTTCCCTAGATATACCCTGTGGGGGAAGTCCAGCCCCGCAAGGCCAGTCGGTGCCGGAGGAGAGAGGCCCCGCCAGGCAGCAGCAGCAGCTGCCGAGGGCACCGGGGGTGGGCCAGCTCCCCACCAGCCTCCGCGCCTCCATCCTCCAAGGCTCCCGGCGCCCCATGGAGAAGGAGGGTCCCGGGACCCTGCCAGCGCTAGGCCCACCTTACCTGTTACCTGGCGCCAGGTGGGCCGGGGCTGGTCTGGGCTGCGCTGCACTCCGCTCGGCGCGGCTCATGGGCACCGACTGCCTACCACCCAGCCGCTGGGGCGCCGCCGCCGCAGCCGCTGCAAGGTCGCACTGAGGGAGGCGGGGCCTCCCCGGCTGACGTGAAGCCGCCCCTACCCTGGGCCCCGCCCTCTCCCCATAGCCCGGCCCATCCAGAGGCCCCACCCAAAGATAGGCCCCGCCCCAGATGGCTTCTGCCCCTCCGTTCCGCCCCCAAAGACCGCCCCATACTGAGGCTCCGCCCATAAGCGAGGCTCCGCCCCAGTCACATCTGCGGCTCCGCCCCGACCCCACAGCACGTCCCTTCCAGAGGCCCCTCCTACCCAGTGACTTGCTCTGCCCGAGGGCCACCCCGTCCTGAGTGTCCCGTCTCCTTCCTACCCACACCGACCTCCCCCACCTCCGCTAGGGGCGAGGCTCCGCCTCCCTCCGCCCCCCCCACCGTCACCTAGGCATCACCCCTAGCGGCCTCGTCTGGGACACGCCCCTACACCGGCCATCGTTCCCGCCCCAGGGCACGCCCCTCGATTTTACGCCGGGCCACTGTCCCCCCCATTCTCCCTTCTACTCGGCCTCCTCCCCTCCACCCCTCCACCTGCCCCCGCCTATGACCTGCCCCATCACTTGGCCCATCCTACCCCCAGCCGCTCGACCCGTCCTGAGGCCCCGCCTCTAAAGGATAGACTCTGCCCCCACGACCTCTGTGGCTCCTCCCCTCGCCCTTATTTGGGAGGGGGAGCCTGAGTCCCCGCTCCAGAGCCTATCCAGTCCCTCGACCCCACTCAGAGGTTGACCCTGCCCCTGGACACGCCCCCAGTCAGCCTGCCCCGCCCCCGCTCCAGGATATTCCTCCAATCCCCGTTCTGCGCTCCCCACGCCCTTCTCTGCTCGGCCTCCCCTCGGCCGCAGCTCCACCTCTCCCCATTGGCCCCGCCCCCACGGCGGGCTCGCGGTGCTCTGACACGCCCACAAGCCGGCCTTTACGGTTCCTTCCGGCCAGGCCCCGCCCCACCCCCTCCCAAAGCCTCACCCCGCCCCGCCCCCCCCGCTGGGGGGATTCTCTCCTGCACCCTGGCCCACCCCCCCTTCCTCCCCAGGAGATGGCGGGGTCCCACCTTGGGAGGATTCTAGGATGCTTCATGTGCTGGCTGTGGACTTCCCCCTCCCTCCCCACCCCCAGAATGGAAGCTCCTTGAGGGCAGGGACTGTTTCATCTTCATCTTGGTACACCCGGTGCAGGCCCCCGTGGGCTTGATAAATTCTTGTTGCTCGCTTGCTTGCACGTTGGCAGGCAGGAAGGAAACGAGCATTTATTAAGGACTTACATGGTCCAAGCACGTGCTAAGGATGCAGTCTTAGGAGCACAAATTCAGAGCTGGAAGGAGCCTTAGGTCATTTTAAAGGGGACAGGACTGAGGCCCAGAGGGTAAAAGGATCCTAGGACTCAGATATGGAAAGGACTTCATGAAACTGGGACCCCCAGAGGGATCGCAAGGTTTAGAGCTGCACGCCACCTTTGAGGTCTTCTCATCTAACCCTTTTATTTTACAGATCAGAAAACTGAGGCCCAGAGAGAAGTGACTCATACGATTCTTCAGCCTGTCATCTTCATAACAGCTTTTGAATATGCCCTCTCCCGTTGCCAGCATCCTGGTAGCATCTCTCATCACTGAGCACTGGCTGAGTTGGCCTCCTGGCTCTCCCCACTGCAGCCCATCCTCCACTCAGCTCTCCAAGCAATCTTCCTTTGTGATCACTATGGCTTCTATCACCTATAGGATTCAATACAAAATCCTCTGGTTTTCAAAGCCCTTTATAACCCAACAATCCCCCAACTACTCCCCCCACCCCTTTCCAGTCTTTTTACACTTTACACTCTTGTCTTGTACTCTTCTGTCCACTGACCCGGATGTTTTTGGAACAAGACACTTCACCTCTGGACTCATAAGTGTTTTCGTTGGCTGTCCTCTCATACCTGGAATTTTATTCCTCCTCATCTGTGCCTCCTGGCTTCCCTCAAATCCTAGCTAAAACCCCACTTTTTACCGGAAGCCTTTCCTAATCCCTCTTAATTCTAGTGCTTTTCCTCTGCTGATTATGTCAGATTTATCTTGTGTACATAACTTGTTGGTAACACAGTTACCTACATGTTGTCTCTCTTATTAAGACTATGGAGCATCATCTTTTACCTTTCGTTGTCCCTGACGAGTGGTCCTTGCAGCCTCTTCCTGATGCCTACAATGAGTGGTGTGGAAGCTGGTATCTCCCAAGGCAGCCCCTCACACTTGGGGGCAGATCTTATTCATTTGTCAGGTAGTTCGTTCTCATCTGGAGCCTAAATCTGCCTCTGCAATTTAAGCTTAGCATCTCATCCCTCTTTTACATTGTTGTTTAGTCGTGACCCCATTTGGGGTTTTCTTGGCAGAGATGCTGGAGTGGCTTGCCGTTTCCTTCTCCAGTTCATTTTACAGATGAGGAAACTGAGGCAAACAAGGTGAAGTGACTCAGCCAGGGTCACACAGCTAGTAAGTGGATTTGAACTCAAGGATGAGTCTTCCTCACTCGGGGCCTGGTGCTGTGTAGGTGTTCCAGTAATGATACCTAGTATTTATATAGCACCTACGATGTGGCTGGTGCTGTGCTAGGAACTTTACAAATATTATCTCACTTGACACGAACAACAACCGTGGGAGGTTTGTTGTCATTAGCCTCATCTTACAGTTGAGGAAACTAAAGCAACCAGAGGCTGACTTGTCCAGGGTCACATAGCAAGTGTCTGAGGCTTTATCTGAACCCAGGTCTTCCTGACTCCAGGTCTGGTGCTCTAACCACTGTACTACCTTGATGTCTTGCTTTACCACTTACCTATACAATCTTAGGCAACTCACTGAACATGTGTAGACCTACTTCCTACTTTCTAAAAATGAGGGGGTTGCAGTAGATGGCTTCTAAGGTTCCTCCAGCTCTAAAACTAGGTTCCTGTGAATAAGCTGAGTGCAAATTTGGACATCTGAGCCAGCTCCCTGTTTGCGCCTGTCAACACATGCTCTAAAAAAAATTCGCTCATTCTAAGATAAGCCAAAAATTAAGGAGGCAGATGTGATACAAGAAGACTGTGCTGCATTTTGTAACTGCAAAGAACTGGAAACTAAGGGGATGCCCATCAACTGGGGGACGGTGGAACACCTGGTGGTACGTGAAGATAATGGAATGATTCTGCTGCACTCTGAGAAGTGATAAAGGGGTTGATTTCAAAGAAACTTCAGAAGACCTATACAAACTGATGCAGAGGGAAGTGAGTAGAACCAGAACTATTTCTACAATAACCACCTTGTAAAGACAAACACGTCTGAAAGACTTAAGAGCTATGCTCAACGCAATAATCAATTGTGATTCCAGAGAACCAGTGATGAAGAGTGCTGACAGAGAGGTGGCAGAACTGGGGTGCAGAATGAGCCACGTTCTTTGACATGACCAATATGGGGATTTGTTTTGCTTGACTCTGCATATTTGTTCCAAGGTTTTCTTTTGTTTTCTTTGGGGAGTGGGGGGTGGGGGTGGGAAGGGCAGTGTGTAGATGGGAGAGAAAATAAATACTAACTGAAAACTGTGCCCCCCTCCCCTTTTATGCCAAATTATCCGTGTCTCTGCATACTGTTCCATGAGTGTGAATATAGCTGAGTTAACTGTACTTGCCTAGCCTGAAGGCTGGGCCTAGCCATGGACAATGCTAATTAATACCCAGACTGATCAAGAATGTTTTCATCTTTCTGAAAAGCTGAAAGGGGGATGAGGGGCAAACCAGCTGCTTCTGAGACAGGGAGCAAATTCAAAGCTGAAGGATGTTAGAATGGGGAAGCTGTCCTCCTTCAGAGAGCTAGGCCCAGCTTATCATTTTGACAGAGATGATGACTAGGCCCAGAAAAGGGAAATGGTTTGTTCAAGGTCACTAGAGCTAGTTTGTGGAAAAGGTGGGGTTAGAGCCTTGGGCACCAGAGTCCTGGTTCAAATTCAAAGCTCGCTGTCTCTGTGCCAGCTAGCTGCCCTGTCCCACACATAGTAGGTGCTTAACAAATGCCGGGTGACTTGATGACTTACAGGTCTGACCTGCTTGCTACAGGGAGTTCTGTTCTCAGGAGCAGCCTCCCCTTTGAGGCCTGGCTAGAAAGATCAGTAAATTCTAAGAGGGCAGCAAGGAGATCCCTCCCAGGGAAATGCCATCCTTCTTCATTCAACACCTGTAATGGAGATGCTGTTTAAACTTTAAATGACTTCTCATCCAGGGGAGCTCTGGCATGTACCTATATTGAAGCCAGCTGAGTTTTCAGCTCCCTGGGAATGAGTGAGGGCTTTGGGAGGAGCTCAATCACTGTCTGGCTGGTGAAAGCAAGATGTCATGGACATGGAAAGTCAAGTCCATCCTCTTGGATGGCTGGAGACTTGGTGGACCCTGCTGCTGTATGAGCACTGACACAGCCAGGCATCCCCTAGGGCAGGACTCCAGTGACCCAGTGAGGCTGTTATTGGGCTCAGATGCTTATCTGACCTTTCTGAGTGCCAAAGAAGAACAGAATCCCTAGGGGATTTTCTGCTCCTGGGAAAACTAGAGTTTATTTCTGGATGGAGGGTTCGGCCCAGGCTTTAAAGTCTCACTCCACACTTTAGCCTGCCTGTAACTACCTCCCTTCCAAGTAAATCAAGGAAGGGCCTTGTTGCAGTCTATGACTGGGGACAAACCACAGAGCTCTGGGGAATCTCAACCCGGTGTTGAGCATATCCGAAGTATGTAAGTGTTGTTTCAGTGCAGATCTTCAGCCTGGGAATCTGGCTGGGGATCACAGTTGGTAGGGCATTTGGGGCCAAGCCCAGAAAGGAACTCTCTCCTTTGGTCAGCTAAATCTGGGCTCTGCTGACACATGCTGTGGGCAAGAGAGTGGGAACAGAGACAGAGGGAACAGAGTATCAGCCAGATCCAAAGTCCTCTCTACTCTCCCCCACCACACACACAAAAACCCAAACCCAACAACTTCTGGTAATGATCCTATACGTTGATTTCTGCAACCCAAAGAGCATTTTTTGTAAGAC